AACAGCTAAACACACAAAAAGTAATCTTACCATAAAAAGTTACTGTGGGAACAGAAATGCTCAATACACAAACTCAGAAGACAACAATACGAAAACACCCACAAACAAAGCCTCAAAATATATATAATATATATATATAGACTGGACAAAACCCAAAAAGAATTCCTAGAAAAACTAAAGAGATTTTTAAAAAGATGTTAAAAAGCAAATAATAGTGTCAGGAGGAAAACTGGGGAAATAAATGAGAGCAATGCAAGAAAATTATGAAAAAAAGAATGATAAGAGGGACAAAAAAAAAATCCAAATACTGAAGAAAAGCTCTTTAACCAGAACTGGAAGACATCTTAAGATGGAAGAGGAAAGGCAAGGATTCACCTGAGCTCTCCCAAATTTCCTTCTAAACAACTTTAAAATAAAGCCTCAAATAAAATTCTGGAGTAGCAAAACAAAAAAGGGTTGGGTTAAACAATTTTCCAGCCCAGGACTACTTAAGAGATCAGCTTGCTAAAGGAGGCACCAAAAAACTGAAGAAAATAACATCTTAAAAAATAGAATTACCAAATGGTAAAAGGCATAAAATCCACTGAAAACTCCTTAAAAAGTAGAATTGGCCAAATGGAAAAGGAGGTACCAAAAGCTCACTGAGCAAAATAACTCCTTACAAAATAGAATTGGGCAAGTGGAAGCTAATGACTCCAAGAGACATCAACAAACAATAAAAACAAAATGAAAAGAATGAAACAAATAGAAGAAAATGTGAACTATATCACCAGAAGACAACTTACCTAGAAAACAGATTGAAGAAAGATAATTTAAAAATTATTGGACTACCTGAAAGCCATGATCAAAAACCAAGCCTAGATAATAAATATATTTCTAGAAATTAACAAGGAAAACTGCCCTGATATTTTCGAATCAGAGGGTAAAACAGAAATTGAAAGAATCCACCAATCATCTCCTGAAAGAGATCCCAAAATGAAAACTCCCAGGAATATTACAGCCAAATTCCAGAGTTCTCAGGTCAAGGAGAAAACTGTGCAAAGCAGGCAGAAACACACAATTCAAATGTTGTGGTGCCTCAGTAAGAAGAACGCACAATTTAGCAGCTCCTACATTAAAGAACTGGAGGGCTTGGAATGGGATATTATGGAGGGAAAAGAAATTAGGATTACAACCAAGAATCACTTACCTAGCAAAACTGAGTGTAATCCTTCAGGGGAAAAAATGAGTTTTCAATGAAATAGAGGACTTTCAAGCACTCCTGATGAAAAAGACCAGAGCTGAATGGAAAAATTGACTTTTGAATACAAGACTCAAGAGAAGCATGAAAAGATAAACAGAAAGGTAAATCATAAGGGACTTGATGTGATTAAACTGTTTACATTTCTACATGGGAAGATGATACTTATAACTCCTAAGAACCATTATTAAGGTAGCTAGAAAGAGTATACATAGACAGAGGGCACAGGTATGAGTTGACTATGAAAAGATGATAACCAAATAAAAATAACGGGTGAGAAAGAAAGATGCACTGGGAGAAAGGGGAAAGGAAAGGTAGAACGGGTTTATTATATCACATAAGCATGAAAGAGCCTTTACAATGAAGAAGATGAAAGTGGGGTGGCAAGCAATGCCTGAAATTTACTCTTGTCACAATGGGCTCAAAGAGAAAATAATACATACATTCAATTGGGTAGAGTAGGAGGGGAGGGGGAAGAGAGAAAGAGGAAGAGCCAATATAATGAAAATGACAATTCTACATAAATCAGTCTACTTATGCAGTGCCACAGCATTAAACTACCAAAAAATTATTTTATAGAGATAAAGAAAATAGTAACAAAATTCATCTGGAACAATAAAATGTCAAGAATATCAAGAGAATTAATTGGGGGGGTGAAGGAAGTTGGCCTAGCCCTACCAGCTCTCAAACTATATTATGAATCAGTAATCATCAAAACTGTATGCTATTGGCTAAGAAATAGAGTGGTGGATCAGTGGAACAAGACCCAATAGACATTGTAGAGTAAATGACCACAGTACTTCCTGAGTTCTAATCTGGCCTCAGATACTTAGTAGCTGTGTGACCCTGAGTAAGTCATTTAACCCTATTTGCCTCAGTTTCCTTATCTGTAAAATGAGCTGGAGAAGCAAATGGCAAACCACTGTTAATATCTTTGCCAAGAAAACCCCAAAACACAACTAAAAAATGACTGAACTACAACAACCTTCAATGGTGGTAAGTGCTGAAGAATATTATGAAAGGAAGAGGGACCTTACAACAGGTATGATCCTCAGCGATTTGGTAGAGATCACTCATTCAGCTACATGAAGAGCTCGATCTTCAGAGCAACTGACGCTCAGAAGAGTGAGAAGACATAGACCAGGGAAACAATTTTGAGACAAAAGTGGGAAAAAATAATCAAGAGGAAGGCAAAGGTCAATGATAAACTACACAATCAGGGAAATGGGAAAATTCCTACTGCGAGGCAGTATCCTCTGTATTACCCACAGGAATTGGTATTTTTAAGAGAGGCACAAGAAATAAAAAGGGGGTAGAGAGCAGGGAGGAGGGAAGAGTGAAGATCTATCTAAAAGACAATTACATAGAAACTATTTAGAAGAACTCAAATAGCTAGGTACCTTAAAGCTTTAATTATATGAAGTATAGAGAGAGAAAAGGTAGTACTTGAGAGTGAGGAGAAGAGAGCCAGTGAGGATAAATTAAGCTAAAATAAGTGAAGAGACAATCTTTTCTTTAGAGGAAGAAGATAAAAAATCCTAATTTGGAAAAACAAACATGATATTATATACAAATGTAGGAAAATTCAATCCTCTCATAACTTAAACTATGAATGGATTAAACAATTCAATAAATGAAAAAGAATGACGTATCAGAAAACAAAACTGATTCACTATGTATAAGAAATACATTCTTTTAAAAAAAGACACAAAGAATAAAAATAAAAGGCTTGATATTCATGGTTTCCTCCTTTCCACACCCATTTTAATTTAAGGCCCTTCTGATTAGAAATCAACAATATACAATATATACACAATGTAGTAATATATATCCCTTTCTCAGACAATGTATGGGACTAATTCAACAAGTTGACAGTCTAGCCAGCTACATGACAATATGCCTCTAAACATTTATGTGCTTTTCACATAAGAATATTATTTTATTTTATATGGCTATTTTATTTCCATACTAAATTAGGCTTAGTAGAACATAAGCTCTTTGAAGGCAGAGGCTATGTCTTACCAAAACTCAGCATCTCCGTAAGTATTCAACATAGTGGATTATACACAGAAAACATCTAATAAATGTTATACATACTTACTGACTGGTAAGTCTCTATTGGGTTAGTATGCTGTACATACTTATTGATAGACTACCTGCCCCTTCACCCAGGAGACAACCAACTAAACATTGAGGCTGGCCTCGTTAGAAGCAGCCCTGGCTGATGATTGCATTGTGAGTAGATCACTTGTGCCTCTATAACCAGCCAAGCTACAGAATCAAGCCCATGTAACCTGTGAATCCTATCTTTAAGGATCAGATCATCAGGTCTCCAGACAGAAAAAAAGATATACCATGGGCCTTACCACACAACCTATGACCATCTATGACCATCATTCTTGCTTTCCACCTCTTGCTCAGTAAATAATGATCATATTCACAGGACTATTGCTACTGGGAAGTTTGTGACCATATACTACTCTACAGCTCCAAAAACTCCCTATCATTCAGTCACAGGCTGCCTTGACTCTTTGCTTCCTCAAACCCATCTATGCCATCTCCTTATCATTCCATTTTACCTCCCATTCTTCTATTGCACTAACCAACACACTCCTTCCATCTTCCAACACTCCTTTGAGTTTCATTCTACTGACGGGTTACCCTATCCAAATTCTGGTGTTCTGTGTTGGTGTTTCTCCTGTATCCAAGAGTTTAGGATCTAACTCACAGACTTCTTCTCTACCCCAACCTTGTCCTTAAGTTAGGCACTTCAATTTACAATGAGATCCTTCCAATATGCCCCCCTTCCCAGTACATTAAACTCAACTCCCATCAACAACACCTTTAACCAAACTCAGAACGGTAACGCTCCTTGAAGGGGAGTAGTCTTGGCATGAAACAGCTAAAAAGCAGCAGGATGCTTGCTGAGATAGGTACAGAGACCTCTTATGTCTCCATTCTCACCAGTCAAAAGTCTGAGGAACCAGGAGAGCTAGTCAAAGGAAGAGTCATGGCAAGAAGATGGCCGGAGTGCAACAGACAGCATGGTTTGTCTGCATACATCTGGTTGAGAAAACTTCTCATGCATCATGAGAACAAGTTCCCAAATGGGAGTTGGAAAACTCTAACCAGGACCCCACGCCCAGAACTGGAGAGCGAGCATCAGTCACATCAAATGCTGAGGCATGGCATGAAGACAGCTGGTGAACCCTCACCAGCCAGAAGATCAGGGGGGCAAGGGAAATAACCTTCACTGGGTGGATAGGGGTGAGGTGTGGGGTGCGCAGGGCCCCTAAGCAGGGGCTGGAGAATCACTGGGGTGGCAGGAAAAGGACCCTTATCAGCCAGGGGGGCAGGGTGGACTGAAGAACTGGGGGAGGCAGGACCCCTGGGTAGGAGCTGGAGAATCAGGAGGGGCACAGGAGAATCTTTGGGGAGGGGAGGCAGGGAGCCAGGGGGGCAGCAGGTGGAGAATTTCACCAGCCAGGGAGACAGAGAGAACCCTCATGGTGGGGAGGACCCCAGGGGGCTGGAGAATCTTTAACAGTCAGGTTCGGGGCAGGACCACCAGAGCCCCTTGCAGAGCAGCCAGAGAGCAGTAGGCAGCAGGGTGAGGCTGAGTCATGTCAGTCTGGGGACCTGGCAGTCATCAGGAGCGCAGGCGTCCAGGGTGGCAGCCGGAAGCTGGTTGCAACATCAGAGGCCCAGCTTGAAGGCAGCAGGGAGCAGCAAACAGCTTGATGGAGCTCAGTTGGATCGGCTGGCTAATTAGAAAGGACCCTCAGCAAGACAGGCACCAAGGAAAGAGCTGGAGAGAGAGTCATAAAGGAGGAGTCAAGAGTTAGTCTTGATGGGTTTCACTATGGTGCACTCACACCAGTCAGGAGTTGGTGGGGAGGCAGGAAGTTGGCTGAATGCTCACCAATCAGCAGCTGAGGACTCAAGAGATGAAGCATTCTCACCAATCAAGAGTTGAGAAGAGGAGGAGCTAGAGAACTCATAACCAAGCAAGAGCACAGTACTCCAGTGCTGGAGGATTTAGAACATTCTCACCAATCACAACTTGAGCGGGAGAGACGATAATAATGAGCTCTCACCAATTGGATTAAAAGGCCCACAGGTGGGAAGAGCTAAATATTCTCATCAATCAGGAGTTAAGAGGGAGACCTACCAAAGAGGAAATGAACTCACAACCAATCAGAATTCTCACCAGCCATGGGGAAGGCAGAGTGGCACCGGCCTGCTCGAAAAGGATCAGGCAGCCTGGTTGGACCAAGTCAGGCCAATCAGGAGCTCACTACAGGGCCAGGGCAAGAGCTTGGAAACTCACTGGAGGGAAACATGGGACCCAAAGGCAGGAGCTAAGAGCTGGAGAACTCAATAATCTGGAACACAGAGCCCCAGAGTCTATGCCTTAGAGCTCTCATTCAAGAAGGCAAGGTGTTTAATCAGAGAGCAAAGTGTGATAGTTTGGGGTTCAGGCCAGTTATGGAAAACTTACCAATCAGGAGCACAGGGTGCAATTCTAAAACTGGAGATCCCCACACTGTTGAGGAGGAAATAGGCGTGGCAGGAATAACAGCAAAGCAGCCTGGTTGGTCTGGATCCCCTGTAGTTAAGGAGAACTATCCCCAGTTAGGTGGCAGAGCCCCAATGCAGGCGTTGGAGAACTCTCACCAGTCAGGAGCACTGAATGCTATAGCTAGAGCAGGAGAGTCAACTCCCAGACAAGGAGCCATTCCACTCCATTTCATAGGTCTGAAAGGTGGGGGTTGCTAGAACGATCCAGGGGGATTGTAACTGGTGTAACTGGGGGGTGGGGGTTCAATAAAAATAAGGGAGGGGGTACAAGAACCCAGGTAGTCCTGACTTCCAGGGGCAGCTATGTGGCAGAGCGGATAGAGCTCTGGGCTTGGAGTCAGGAAGACCTGAGTTAAATCTAGCCTCAGACACTTACTAGCTGTGTGACCCTGGGCATATCACTTAACCCAATTTGCCTCAGTTTCCTCATCTGTAAAATGAGCTGCAGAAGGAAATGACTAACCACTCCAGCATCTCTACCAAGAAAACCCCAAATGGGTTTTCTCTTATCTTTCTACATACTCATGATGAAAGTAATCAGTCCCCATGAGTTCAACTATCATCTCTTATCTTTCTACATACTCATGATGAAAGTAATCAGTCCCCATGAGTTCAACTATCATCTCTGCGCATATTACTTCCAAATTTATTTTTAAAATATAATATTTGTTTTAATCAGTTAAAAAAAATGTACTCACCCTCCCACCCCAGCCCTCCTCCCCACAGCTGAGAACGTGGAAAAGGGAAAACCCATTACAAATGTGAATAGTCCATCAAAATCAATTCCTACAAAAACCATTCCTACATGTTTCATCTATTGTGTACCAGAGTTAAAGTGGTAGTAAGTTGCACCATTTTCCAAATAAACACACAAAATGCAAGTTATAACCAATCTGTGGTCAAGCTCCCCAACAGGTCTTAACAAGACAAATGTAAACAGGCAAGCCTGTCAAGAATTGTGGGGAAGTCCAGCATGCATCAGCAGGAATATGTGCATGTAATAACTTGTTTACAATGCGATACTATACAGTTACATGAGGTAATACTGATTCATCAAAATTTCAGTGTAGGACAAAAAACACAAATATGCAATGAATTATTAAATTTAAGATGCTTCACTTTTTATAAAATATGTTTTTTGAAATTATGCAAATATTAAAAAAAAAACGTTAAAGGGTTAAAGATTTCCAGGGGGACACTGAGTAATTAATTTTTAAAGGGGGCAGCAGGCCAAATAAGTTTGGAACCTCTGGTCTAGGTGAAATCAGTTAGGGGGGATTCTCACCATTCTCCCCAAGTACCGGGCCCACAGCGCGCCACACAAAAGCACGGCAAAGACAGGAGTGGGTAGATGAGTCTGTGCCTGGCTACCTATGAACTACTCTCACCAATCAAGCAGAACCCCAAAGGAGGCGCTGGAGCATTTTCACCAATCAGGAGTTCAGGCCCCAAGAGGGCAACGCGAGAACCAATCATGGTTGCAGGAGGCGTGGCATAAAGATGGTCAGATAGGAGCAAGAATCCTGGTTGGGCTAGATAAGTGAATAATGGAAATTACGACCAATCACCGGGCAGGAACTAGGGCTAACGTTGAAGAAACTCACCAATTAGGAAGGCAGAGCCTTAGGGTGGGCGTCAAATGACCTGCGTGGTGAGTCTGGGTAAGGCAAGTTATGAAGAACTCTCACCAATCAGAAAGGGCAAGGGAGGGGCGACGCCCATACTCTCCCCTCAGGAAAGAAAAAAAAAGATGGGAGGAAAATAGCCTGAGTGGGGCAGCTGGGCTTCTGGAGACCCCCTGAGAGGAAAGGAAAAGCACTGCAAGATAGGGAGGGAGCATCGGCAATGTGATGGGTCCCATGTCATCCACTAATCCACTGAAGTCCTGTCTCCTTAATTTTAATCTCTACTAAAATGTTACCAGATCCCCATCGTTTGAAAAACAAAAACAAATGCAAAAAACCCCCTACATTTGGTCTACTGTCTGCTCAAGTTATCCTATATATTCAGTGAAACCAAACTCTTTAAGGAAAAAAAAAAGTTTTTTATTTAATATTTTCGTATCCTGCCCTCTGCTCAGTTTCTCTATCTGTAAAATAGGACTACGTCCATGGGGTTATTGTGAGGATAATGGAATAACGTGCACATTGTAAAGCACTGTGGAAAAACTTACTATTATTATTTTCAACTCCTCACCACCCACCTACAGACCTCATCTCCCAACTAAAATTGCTCTCACCAAAATTACCGATGATCTATTCATTGCTAAATCTAATTTGCCAAATTTTCTCAACCATAATCCTTGACACTGTTGAGCAATCCCTTTCCCCAGATACTCTCTCTTCCCTTGTTTTTTTTATGCACTGGTCTCCCTTGGGTGTCCTCCTAGGCATCTGGCTGCTCCTTCTCAACCTTCTTTCTAGTATCACCCATGTCCCTCCCCAATGTATAACAGTGCTTCAGGATTCTGTCCTGTGCCCTATTCTCTTATCTTTCTACACATTCGATGATGAAACTAATCAGCCCCCATGAGTTCAACTATCATCTCTGTGCATATTACTTCCAAATTTATTTTTTAAATATAACATTTATTTTAATCAGTTAAAAAAAAACATTCTCACCCTCCTACCCCAGCCCTCCTCCCCACAGTTGAGAACATAAAAAAAAAAGCAAAACCCATTACAAATGTGAATAGTCAATCAAAAACAATACACATCAGCCACGTCCAAAACAATGTTTCATTCTGCATTCTGAGTCCCTCACCTCTCTACGGAGATAGCATATTTCACCATCAGTCCTCTGGAATCGTGGCTGCTCAGTAGTTGATAAGAGCTCAGCACAATAGTATCCCGTCACATTTATGAACCATAACTTGTTCAGCCATTTCCCAATTTGAGGACACCTCTTCAGATTCCCATTTTGTATTATCCCAAAGAGCTATAAATATTTTTGTGCACCCCTAGGTTTGTTTTGCCTAGGACTAATCTCTCCCTTAATCTACCCTCTCTCACATTCTCCCTCATTCCTCCTCTCCCCCTCCAATTTCCCTATTGAGTGAAATGCATACATGTACTTAAATGTGTGTATATGAGTATGTGTTCTTTCTTTTGTCCAGTCCAGATGAGAATGGGATTCAAGCTTACTCCTCCCCACCCCCTGCTCCGTGTTTGTTTGTACTTCTACTTTCCCACTCTAATTATGTGAGATAATTCTCCTTAACCTTCTTTCTCTACTCCCCTCCAACATGAATTATTCTTCCCCTCTCTTTCCATTCTTTTCTTAAGATCATCAAGACAAAACAGAACCACTTGCAGGCCTTGTCTAATTGGACTATGACTGCTGATAATGATAGGAATCAGAGGGATGCATGTATGATCTCCCAGTATTAGAAGGTAAGAAGTTTGTCCTCATTTAGTCTTTTATCATGGTTTATTCATATTCATCTTTGTATGTTCCTCTTCACTACTGTGTCTGAACTTCAAAGTTTCTAAGAAGTTCTGATCTTTTCATCAGGAATGCTTAAAAGTCCTCTATTTCATTAAAAATCCATTTTTCTCCCTGTAACATCATTACTCAGTTTTGCTGAGTAAGTTATTCCTATTGACTCATGGAGTCATTGGCTTCTATTTGGCCCATTCTCATTTTCAGAGAGATTGTTGCTTATAAAAGGTTTTATACCTCTTGTGCCAAGTTGTTAATTCCCTTTCCAATTCTTTCTTCCATAGTTGTCATATCTTTTCCAATTTTTTCCTCGTGTTCTCATTTCATTTATAAAAACTTTCTTACTCTTTTTTTTTTAATTCTTCCTTAATCTCTTCCAGAAATTCTAGTTGAATTTTTGCCCAGGGTGTTTTTCTCTGAGGCTTTGCTTATCAATGTTTTGAAGTTATTCTTTTCTAGATTTTTGTTTTGAGTTTCCCTGCCACCATAATAGCTCTTATGGTGGGATTTTTTGTTTGCTCATTCATTGTTCTAGCATGCCTCCTGACTTTGGACCTGATCTCAGGGCTAGGCTCTAAAGCAGTTCTGGAGGGAAGGTCTAGGCTGGTCCTGCTGCTGCTTTCTTGGGGAATTGAGTGTTGTGTTATTCTAGGATCTCAGGGACAGGCTGGGAATCTGCAAGCTTTCAGTGCTCCCAAAGTAGGCCCATCCAGGAAAAAGTATATTACTGCCCCCCTGGTCTGAGATCTGAAAGACCCTGATCTGAGTGTGGATTCAGGTGGATTCAGCTCCAGTCATCCAGCTGAAATACTCTGTTGGTTCAGAGTGGCAGAATTGTAGGCTGTTCTTCAGTCTAGAATTCCTGCCTCTTCAGACTGAGCTAGATGCTAAAAATGATACCTTACTCCGTACCAGGGGTCTGAGCCGCATGTCTACTGCTGCTGGTTTTTGAGCATCTTCCTTCTTACTATACCACCATACCTGGAAGAAGGCCTTCCTACCCTGAACCACCATACCCTTCTCAGTCTGCCTGGAGTCTGTTGTCTGGAACTAGTTAATGGGTGTCAAAGCTATCAGTTCACACCTATCCCCATCTCAGAGTCAGGCAAGGATCTGGTGCTACCCTGGCATGGATCTGGAACCTCTTCTTGCCGTTCTTCACAGCCTCTTTCTAGGAGTACCCCAACCCCAGTCTCTGGTATCTACAGACCACCCTATGCTGCGTATTGGTTCCTACCACTGTGCCATCTTGGCTGCTTCCAAATCTATCTAGTCTTAGTATCTCTCCTGAACTCTAGTCTCTTCATCAGCTGTCTGTTAAATGTGTCTTACTGAATGTCCCCATACAATTCAAATACATGTGATCATCTTGGGATCGTAGTGTATAGGATCACATATTTAGGGCTGAAAGGAAGCCTAGAAGTCATCTAGTCCAACTCCCTAACTTCACAAAGGAGGAAGCTGAGACCCAGAGAATGCCAGCAAGCATGGAGGAAGTACTTATGGTGGGCCAGGCACTGGGCTAAGGACTGAGGATGCAAAGAAATGCAAGAATAGTCCCACTTCTTCAGGAATTCACACTTTAATGGACAACATGGAAATAATACAGAAACAGTTATGCATGTGTAAGATATATACATGGTAAACTGGAAATAATATCAAAGGAAAGGCATTAAAGGAGATTGGGAAAAGTATTTTGTAGAAGGTGAGATTTTAGCTAACACTTGAAGTAAGCCAGGACACAGAAGTGAGGAAGGAGAGCGTTCCAGACATGGGGGAGAACCGGTGAGGACACAGAGTCCAATTGCCATATTGCCCCACATCCAAAAATGTGTGTCTCTCTCTGTATAGTCAGTCTATCACCACTCTGTCAAGAAGTGAGTAGTATTATTCATAATCAGTGCTTTTCATCCTGGTTGGTCATTGCACTGATACAAGTTTTTAAGTCCTTGACAGTTGTTTGTTTTTTAAAGTGTTGTTGTTATGGTACAAACTGTTCTGGTTCTGCTCCTTTCACTGTATCAGTTCATGCAAATCTTCCCAAGTTTCTCTAAAACCATTTACTTCATCATTTCTTACATCATAATAGTACTCCATTCTATTCATATACCAAAGTGTAGTTTACACTTTAAACTGGCCAAGATGTGGTGATTTGCACAAGTTAAGCAAAGACAGCAGGAGAGCTTAGACAACCAGGAAAGAGATCAAAGGAACAATCCAGTGGCTCAGCAGTGGTGATCTGGGATCCTAGGCCTTTTCTTTCCCCCAAAGTGTGCAATGAGCTGCTGATCCCCTTAGTAGAATGAACCAGAAGCGTAGGTAGCTTGAGTGCATCCCCCCATGCTGTGTGTGTAGGACATTGATGGTGCAGACTGCGATGAATTAGAGGGACACAGGTCACAGATCACACCAGAAGTGGAAGCTGAGTGACGATGAATCTCCAATGTAGCCTTAAAAGCTCTGTATCAGACTGGTGGCTGTCCTCCCTATTCCTCAGAGAGGCATACTCTGTCATAGGCATTGTCAAAGAAATACAGGTGCACAGAGTCTGATTTTTGCAAAAGGCACCAACCTGAATGAAAGTTCTAATTATAAAACAGAATTTTTTTTTCCCTCCTAAAAGCACATCCTAGTATGAAGAACATGGGCTCAGGCATTTTCCTGTAGGTCCAGATTCTCAGCTTCTCCTTAGCTTTCCCACTGTAGTGCTGTAGATGATAGAGAAGAAACTAGGAAGGGAAGGCCTCAGAATAAGCTTCCCCTTGAGGCCTAGTGAGCCTGAGATAAATTATCTTTATAGACAGCTCCACAAAAAAGATCTCTCTTGCCAGTACTCCCACAGATTTCCCTAAGATCTCCATTCTCCTGATACAGAGTCAGGACTGATTCTCTGAAGTTCATTTCTACTGGAAGAAACAACAGAGATTTGCACCATACTCACACACCAGCTAGAGGATGGGGGAGAGGGCTCAAAAGGTATACTGCTCCCTTTGGCCTCCATGGTCTGCCACCCAGTTAAGCTACAGTAATTTTGCTTTTCATAGTTCTGCCTCTCCAGAGCAAAGGCCAGTCTCCAGATAATCACCAGCAAAGGGGAGCTGATGCCTTAGCTCATTATTCCCCCAGGGAAGGCTGCCTTAGGTTGTGATTCCTGGCTGTCTGTTGACTGCTGGCATGTGCTTTCTGCATCCTCATACTAGGTACTCCTTGGCTAGCTCTACACTGTCAGGAGAGACATATCTACCCAGGAAGCAGTCAGGTCTGTTTACTCATTTAATCTGTTTAGCAGCCCCAGGGAATGACAGGCTCTGCTTCCTACTGCCCCCATGATAGCCTAGAAAGGAGTCCAAGGCAGGGAGCAGAGCTGTCTCAAGGGGACCACAAACTGAGGTGACTAACTCAGGCACATTGAGGGGCAGGGGTTTGCAAGAAGAGTATGCTGCTGATGGCTGGCCAGTGATACAGGGAGGCAGCTAGCAAAGGAGGAGGTTATTTCATTAGCTAGTGCTACATGTATGTATACATATATGTGTGTGTGTGTATACACATACATGTACAATCAGTCCTTAAATCTGCCCCTCCACCAAAATAAAACAGGTCATAAGAACTTCAGAGATCATTTAGTTCAACCTCCGCTATTCTGTAACTGAGGAAACTTAGGCCCAGAGAAGGTCAGTGACTTGTCCAAGGTGACACAGCTAGTGAATGGTGTTCTGATTCCAAATTCACTCCAAAAGTACTCGGCATAGCACTGACTTCAATACCCATCTCTCTGTAATCAGGACAGCAGACTATGAGAGAATATAATCAGGACAATGGACCATGGGAGAGTTCTGATGCTTTCACCTCACCCCTTCTTCTCTGCTTTCAAAACAGCACTGCAAATTTTGAGCATAAGCTTACTTGGCAAAGTCAGCACTCTCCATTTGTGCAGCACAGAACATGCTGTGAATAGTCCATAAATATTCATAAATAATGGCAATGGCATATATTCTACACAGATGGAATTGTACTAGCATGAGGGTTGTTGTTTTTTTAAGCAAAATACGTATCTACCTTCTGCTGCCTCCTAGTCTTTTGCCTTTCAAAACTAGAGCAATAATACATGTTCGTCCTGCCTGCCTGGACACAAAATGCAAAATGTGCCCTGTAGGTCCCTAAGACATCATCATTATTAAGTTTCAATAGCTTGGCCAGGTCACATAACAAAATTTTTGGAATGCTCAAAATTGTGCGTAAGATGGAAGCTTCTGACATTCATTCTACATCTTTCTGACATTCACTCAGTCAAGACCAGGACTCTTAACCTTTTCTGTGTCATGGCTGCCTTTGGCAGTCTGATGAAAGCTAAGGACCTTTTCTCAGAATAATGTTTTTAAATGCCTAAAATAAAATACTTGGGCTTACAAAGGAAAACAATTGTACTGAAATACAGTTATCAAGGGCAGCTAGCTGGCACCATGGATAGAGTACCCAGGCCTGGAGCCAGAAAGACCCGAGTCAAATCTGGCTTCAGACACTTACTAGCTATGTGACTCTGGGAAAGTCACTTAACCCTGCTTGCCTTAGTTTCCTCATCTGTAAAATGACCTGGAGAAGGCAATGGCAAACAACTCCAGTATCTTTGCCAAGAAAATCCCAAATGGAGTCAGGAAGTGTTGGACACGACTGAAACAACTGAACAGCAACAGTTATCAAATAAAAAAGAAATAATTCACAGACCCCAGGTTAAGGAGCTCTGGTCTAAAGCTAAAGGTGATTTTTTTTAGGGGGGGGAGTTTGGTACATAAAGGTACTTTGTCAGTTTCTTGCTTGAAATCTTTCCTTGTATTCAATCACAGAAGCAAAAATCTGTGTGATTCAGGTATAATACTTTTTTTTTCCTACAGAAAAGATAACAAAGGCTTTTTCATCCTTAGAGTTCAAGCATTTCATAAATGTCATCCCAGCATCCCCTTCAGGAGAAGAAGCAGCTTTCGCGTCATCATGTTATAGACTCTTTGAGACATGAACATATCCAAGGTCACTTAAGTCAGTAGCCGCGCCTGGAACAGAAATAGAAGATTTCTGACTTCCTGTTTCCTGTTTTACCACTAACTCTCCCTCCCTTCATCAGATTACAGCTCCTTCAGCATCACATCTTGTGAATGTAGGCCTGCACCTACTTCTGGGAGCATACATGAAATGATGGTAAGGATGGCCTATCTCATCAGTGGAAATGCTGTTATTGAAAGCTAGTTAAACAAAGAGCCTTCTACCACTGCCAAAAGGTGAAAGAATGAATCAAAGCCTGCTGCTGACAGACATGAATTGCTAATAAACACAAAAAGGAATGACAAAAGGCATAGTGATAATATTTGCTGCAGGCCTTCCCCCAACAGAATAAATGCTTACAAATGAATGAATCTTTTGATAATCTCCCTTTCTTCTCCATCATAATTCTTCCCAGGATACAGGCTGGATATAGGCAGTTGTCTAGGAATACTACAATCTCATTAACTTTTTGTTTGCTTTGTTACATCAATTTTTGCTTCATTTAGTGCCAGAATTTTATGGCAAGAATTATTGTTGAGGTTTTTTTTTTCCTCCAAGAACCACCCTCCCAACAGAAAATAATATGTGGAAAAAGTAGAATATTTCCTGGACCCCTAACTATTATTTGGTGTTAAATTTTAAAATGGGGATAATGACATTTGTACTATCTACCTCACAGGGTGGTGAGTGAAGCACTTTGCAAACTTTCAGCTGCTATATAAAATAAGTATAAAATATAAATATAATATATAAACATATAGTGTATAACATATAAATGATATGCTATAAATAGTAAAATATAAAATACATACTTTACGTTTGTATGGCAGATTACAAAGCACTATTGCATGTATTATCTTACTTGGTCCTCACAACAACCCCATAAGGTAAATAGGACAACTATTATTATTCTATTTTACAATGAGGAAACTGAGGCTCTGAAACACCATGTGATTTACCCATAGTCACAGAGCTAGTGGTAAAGCAAGAAAATTCATGTCGCAACTCTAAAGTCCAATGCTCTTTCTCCAATAATCTTCCTTGTCCTAACGGCCTTCTACTTACATATAGAAAACACATAATATTATCATGCCATGGCATATTTGTAGAAATGATGACATTTCATTCTGAATTAGAAAAAATAACTATCCGTTCGCTGATTCTCATATCCCAACACCAAGGAGGTAAACTAAGGAAGCAGCAGGGAGATGGTGCAGTGGATAGAGTGTTGGGCTTTGAGTCAAGAAGACCTGGGTTCAAATCCAGCCTTAGACACTTAGCTGTGTGACCTTAGGCAAGTCACTTACCCCTGTTTGCCTCGGTTTCCTCATCTGCAAAATGAGCTGGAGAAGAAAATGCAAACCGCTCCAGTATCTTTGCCAAGAAAACCCTACATGGGGTCACAAAAGTTGGACACAGCTCAACAACAACAATGAAAGGAACCTGATACAATGAGCCCAAGAAATGAGGAGGCCAATTGCTGGCTTCAGCTCTGGGAACCGCATTTTAGGAAAGACATTCATAAGCTGCAGCACCCAGGAGAAGGCAAGCGGGAGGGTGAATGGCCTCAAGATTCTGCCTGACGCAAAGCTGTTGAAACAACTGAGAATATTTTACCATCAGGAGAAGAGGTTCGGACATAAGAGCTATCCTTGAGTACTTAAAATACTTCTGTTGAAGAGAGGGATGAGACTTGGTTAAAATCCCACCTTCTGCAAAAAACTTTTCCCTTAATTTTACCTTACATCAGTCCTTGTTATTAGTGCCTTTCCCCCAAGATCACCCCAATTTATCCTGTCTGTATATTTTTTCTATGTACTCATCTGCATGTTGTCTCTCCCAGTAGATGGTGAGCTTCTTGAAAGCAGGAGCCTTCTTTTGTCTCTCCAGCACTTAGCAAAATACCACATAGTAGGTGCTTAATGCTAGTTGACTGACTCACTGACTGTCTTTCCAGTCTTGACACACTTTATCAACCTCCATGTACCCTGTGATTCATTGACATGACCTCCTAGCTGTTCCTTGCACACATGACATCCCATCTTCCTATTCTAGACATTTTTACTGGCTATCCCCCATGTCTGGAACTCTCCTTCCTCATCCATCCCTGGCTCCCCTGGCTTCTTTCAAGTCCCAGCTAAAACTCTTCTGCAAGAAGCCTTTCTGGGGCAACTAGTACAGTGGATAGAGCACTGGCCCTGAAAGTCAGAAGGACCAGAGTTCAAATCTGTCCTCAGACCAAATACTTGACACTTACTAGCTGTGTGACCCTGGGCAAGTCACTTAACCCCAATTGCCTAAAAATTTTAAAAAAAGAAGCCTTTCCTAGTCTTCCTTATTCTTAATTCCTTCCCTCTCCAAAACTACCCTCAATTTATCCTGTATATATCTTGTTGGCATATAGTTGCTTGTGTATTGTTTCCTCCATCAAATTTTGAGCTCTTTGAGAGTGGGGACTGTTTTTTTGTTTTTGTTTTGTTCTTGCCTTTCTTTGTATCTCCAGTGCTTAACACAATGCCTGACACATTTATGATTGTTGTTCAGTTGTTTCAGTGGTGTCTGACTCTTCCTGACCCCATTGGGAGCTTTCTTAGCAAAGATACTGGAGTGGTTTACCATTTTCTTCTCCAGCTCATTTTACAGGTGAGGAAACTGAGGCAAACAGAGTTAAGTGACTTGCCCAAAGTCACACAGCTAGTAACTGTTTAAAGCCAGATTTGAACTCATGTCTTCTTGACTCTAGGCCCAACACTCTATCTACTGTGCCACTTAGCTGCCTCATGCCTGGCACATGGCAGTCACTTACTCAATGCTTGTTGACCGATGACCCTAGAAGATATAATTAGGAAAAATGAGTGAAAGATGCAGAGGATGACTTCACCTAGATGGAAAGTGGAATTTCCTAATAACTAAAGCTAACAGGAAGTGAGGTGGGATAACTGGGGAGATAGTGGGATCCCCCTTCACAGAGGGCTTCAAGCAAAGAAAGGGTGGATGCTCCCTGGTTAGCTATGTTGCAGAGAGGATTCTCCAAGTATGGATTTGGCTAGATCACCTATGAGAATCTGCAATCCTGTGATGCTTACATCTGAGCCCAATTCTTTGCTAAGCATCATATTATGAACAATGCCTTTCCTGGCAGCTTCATGGATCTGATGGAGAACACTTTCACTGTAGTCTTAATGCTGTGGGTTTGGTGTTTAACAGGTGCTCAGTCTGAGAAAGAGTAATAAAATTTAAGAGGATTGCTATAAGAACTCCAAGACCTGAGCCAATGAGTAAAGATGACTGGTTCCTTCATTAGCCATACTTTTAACCAGAGCTAGCTCAGTGTTGGGGAGGCTCTGAAGGAAGTGTGGGAAAGAAGAGGTATTAGATTGCCTACCAAACTGAAGGTCTACAGAGCCATTATGTTGATCTCAATGTTGTGTGCCTGTGAATCCTGGACAGTATGCCAGCAGCATACCAGGAAACTGAATCTCTTTCTATTGAACTGCCCTGGGAAGATTCTGAAGATCACCTGGCAGGATAAAGTACTGGACACTGAGGTCATTTCTCTAGCTAAGCTGCCAAGCATTCAAACTCTACTGCAGAGAGCACAACTCTGATGGGCTAGACATGTTGTTTGAATGCTAAGAATATGTTTTTTGCCTGAAATACTATTTTACAGAGAACTCACATAAGGAAGGCACTTGGTGGTCAGAAAAAGCAATACAAGGACACTTGTATTGTATTAAGGTCTCTCTGAAGAACTTTGGGAGACACTGGCAAAGGACTACCCAGCAGGGCATGCCTACATCACAGAAGGTGCTATGCTCTGTGAACGAAGCAGAATTGCAGTAGCTCAGAAGAACCATGATGTGCACAGATTTAGAGACATCTCCACTCCAAATGTTCATGTGGACTATTTGTGCCCAACCTGTGGTAGAGCCCTCCTAGCTTGTATTGGTTGATCAGTCTGCTCAGACACACTGTACCTTGACCCCAACATAGTAATATCATTTTGGTCCTCTTTGAGTGCAAACCAGTCAACCAACCAACTGTCTTTTAGCCAAAAAAGATTCTGAGAAAATAAATGGGCAAAGCCATATCAACATCCATTTTCTAAGTTAGTACAACATTTCTGAGTTCAGAGAAAATGACATTTTAGTTGGATAGCCAAAATGTAATCACGTCTGCAAATATTTCTTGAGTCCCTGCTGTATGCAAGGCATTGTGTAGAATATCAAGAGGTACACAACACAGAGCCTGCTTGTGAGAGACTTAGAGTCTAGATGAAGGGGGAAGACATTTACCTGTGAGAGTAAATAGCAACAAAAGGTTGAGCAATACAAGAAATATCACAGGCATAACCTGATTGCCAAATGGATTATACAGACATTGGGGGTGGCACTATTTGATAGACAGTGTGGTATAATGATAAAAAGCACAGGATTCAAAATTGGAAGAGCTCGGTTCAAGTCCTGGCCCTGCCACTTGCTAGCTTGAGCAATCTATATGAACCTCTAAATTTCAGTCTCTTCATCTACAAAATAAGAATTTTCCTTGCACTTCCCTGCCTCCAGGAGTGTTATAAGGAGGAGGTATAAGTAAAACACTGTATGTAAAGCACATATATAGGAACATGAGCTCTAATGGTCATTGCTATAGGCTACGGTGATCATGAAAGACATTCTAGAAGAAGGGAGAATTGACTTGGGTTTGGGAATCAGCTAGATTTGGAAGTGAGTGGAGCCATTCCAAATATGTGTGTGCAATGGCGTGGCATAGAAGCAACTTGTCTTCCATGGATAGGAAGTAAACCAGTTTGTCTAGAGTGGAGTTTAGGGAAAGATAAGCAGTAGTAAGAAAGTCTGGAAAGGAAGTTTAGAGCCAGGCTGGGGAAATCTTAAAAAGCAGGTGGCATTAGGGCTTTATTCTATAAGTGATAGTAGTTGGTGAACTGGAGCCATGGGAAATCGAAGCATACAGGGTTGGGTATATCCCCGTAGGTGGGGTTTTGAAATGAAGA